CTCCAGAAAGGAAGGCTAAGCAACTGTTCCTTGCAAATCCGACCGGCAGAAGGCCCAGGGGACGGTCAAGGTTAACCTGGTCCAAGTATATGGAAGGAGTCTATTCCAGACTCCATTTGTCTTTTGCCGAAGCTTAGATGCTGGTGCAGGATCGGGAACGTTAAAAGCTCTGTCTGACGCGTCTGCTTCCGCGACCCAAAAAGATGAAGCTGTTTAATAGCGGTAGCGAAAGCTCCCTCTAGCGAAGACTTCCTTAGAACAGCGGGGTTACGTTTTCGATTAGGAGTCGCATTCAGATCGTGGTGGCTTGAACATGTCTTTGCTCAACTTGGAAACTCAGTTTTGCATCCTATGCACTGCAGACGATTAAATTCCATGGGGCTATAGCCTGTTAAATGACTATTTAGGCGGCTAGAAACAAGGGGGCAATGCAATAACGCAGTCAGTGTAAAGTGAGAAATACGTTTTTCTTTCTTTACGCTCAGCCTTTTTTGCCGTTTCAATCCAATGTTTTTATAATTTTAATATCATACTCCATTTTGTTTGAAAAATCTCGGGAACTAGTTTTCAAGCACATACTTCGAATGATAGAAAAACATTAGCAATAGACAGATTTACAGCCGTGTGGATGATGCGCATCGCGAATGAAACTTTTGCAGTCCAAAAGCCCTCGTTGCATGATGTACTTGAACAGTTGGACATGTTTTTGACCCTGACTTAGAACTCGATAATATTTCTCCATCACTGTCAAGACAGTAGTGACAATGATGTAGATACTTCCCATTAACAGTCCAACTGCCATCAACATAAATTTTCATTTTATTGCCGCGAAAGAACCAAACATATAAAAAATATGTTGAAAAATTCATCATGCGCACACATCAGCATAACACAAAGCTTACTTTTGTCTCGGTTGGGGGTGGGGTGACCGAAAGGAAAGTGTTCGGTAGGTGCTTACAGATTTTCTTGGAGGTTTTATTAATTTCGTCACTTATTTAAAATTATAGCTGGTAGTGAATTCTTTTTTGCTTAAACGAGAACGTGTTTCGGAAGATATTATGAAAATGCAGTTAGAAAAATATTTACCCCGTAGACACAAATCATCGGCTTGCTGCTTACACCAGGCATAGTTGTTCTTAAAATTAGCTATGAAGCTACATTTGCGCTGAAACATGGCACTATCTATTTGTGAGAAAACAGCGTTAGAAAAAACTGTCTGAAATTTTAAAGTTACAAGTGAAACTGGCTCCGCCCCTAGTTTGCTACATGCTCCAGTCTCCTAACCTTGCGGAAGCGTAGAAATGACATCTCGCTGATAGGCGGCTGTCAGGAATCGATCCTTTTTAAACAGTGTTTAACTGATTATTGCTACCATGTCGCTCTCAATTCTTCAAATTTTTTCAACAAAGTAAGATGATTACTCCCGTGAATGCTGGATGTTTTGTATTTCCTCATGTTAGTAATGCATTTCGACGATTGCACTTCAGCCAAAGAAGAGCTGAGAAGATAGATTGAAACTTCACACTCCATGCTTTTTGAAGCGTCGAATGTTATGCGGACTTAACTTATTTATAGCTTGCAAACGATTACATCCTTACAATCGTCCGTTGCAAGCGAATTTTTGATGTCAAATAGAGACGGGAATTAGAGGTACAATGGCTAGAAGTCAAG